GAAGGAAGGAAGGAAGGAAGGAAGGAAGGAAGGAAGGAAGGAAACTGAGCTATGTTTGGAGAAATTAGGTTATCTCCATCCCCGATTTTTGTTGTTTGCTGGGAACTGAACCTCTGAACATACTATATCTTGAACTCTACCATTGAACCATACCTACAATCCCAAATTGGGTATTTCAATGGGTGTATTTTGTTTGTCTATCGTTAAGGTATGTAGCTCCAAGACCTCAGTGATTTGGGTATCTTTGTGCTCATAGGAAAAGATGAAACCAGTACATTAATTTCTCCCAGAAGTCCTAACTTCAATGTTGCTCATACCAAAGTCAACTACACATGATTTCCTCCCAACCAGTCACCAAAATACAGACCAGGTTTCCTTTGTGCCCATGTTGACCTGTATGTTGACAAAGAAAAAAAGACGGTCCTTTCCAAGACAATAGAAGATTAGGTTGACTAAAGTATGACAATAGTAAGGCAAGTATACATTACCCTGACACATTTTGTGGCATGTGGACTCAGAGCTTTTTACCAGTGTTGAGATTCCTCTAAACTTAGCTTTTGAACCTTTTGAAGGCCCTTGGCAAGAAGGTCATGAAGATAGGTTCCAGAGCCACAGGGATGATTATGTCCCCATTCTACTCTCTTACTAGCTCTAGGACTCTGATTTATTCTCTATACTTCTCTACAAAATGACCTGAAACTTGCTATATAAGCCAGGCTAACCTTGGACTGGTTATCCTCTTGTCTCAGGCACCCAAGAGCCAGGATCATGGGTATGTATCACTACCGCTCCCTTCCACTTCTTTCAAGTTTTGTAGTCAAGGAAGTAATATACATGAAATTCATAATCCATTATCTGGACTAAAGCAAGGGTGTAAACAAATATTTTCATTATATCACAACTACCTCTACAATATATCCTTAGACCCAGGGTAGATGGGTGATTTCTACTTGGCATGCCAACTCTAAGATGTTTTTTTCTGATCCCCCATATCTTGATGCTCATGCCCTCGGCAGGAGTTGTGACTTGCTTCTCAGCAACAGAACACAGTAAAAGAGAAATCACTTTTGTGATATGGTAAGATTATTTCTGTCTTCCTATAAGCACTCTACTGCCTTCTCAGTTTGCATTCTTTGAAGCAAGCTACTTTTTTTTAATAAAAAAATTTTATTAGTTCAAGTTAGGGAACAAGCACAAGCTACTTTTTAAAAGATTTTTTTAAATGTACATTGGGATTTTGCCTGCACGTATGTCTATGGGAGGATGCTAGATCCCCTGAAACTGTAGTTACATACAGTTGTGAGCTGCCATGTAGGTGCTGGGAATTGAACCTGGGTTCTTTGGAAGAGCAGCCAGTGCTCCTAACCACCAAGTCACCTCTCCATCCCTATGCCTACTTTCTTTTTACTTTTTTCTTTTTCTTTTTCTTTTTTGAGACAGGGTTTCTCTGTAGTTTTGGAGCCTGTGCTGGAGCTCATTCTGTAGACCAGGCTAGCCTCAAATTCACAGAGATCTGCCTGCCTCTGCCTCCTGAGTGCTGGGATTAAAGGCATGTGCCACCACTGCCTGGCTCTATGTTTAGATTCTTAACCCACAGAAAATGTGGGCTGTGTTGTTATAAGTCACAAAGTCTATGATAATTTGTTACATAGTGAAATATAGCCGATTAGCAAAGCTCTCTCATCCCATTTCTGGTTTAAAGCCCATCTCCTCACTTCTTCAGAGAGTTAACATCTAATGCATTACTTCATAGCTATTCCTCTTCTTGTTTCTTCTACAGTGTGAGCTCTTCCATGGCACATCCCTGGCTGACCTGGAATTCTCAGTCATTCCTCAGTCTCTCAAGTGCTAGTGTTGCAGGCTTCACCAGCAGCAGCAGCACCAGAGTATTATCAACCAGTTTTCTGTGACGATTTTTTTTCCATTTTTAAATTTATTTTACATACCACCAGATTCTCACCTCGCCTCTCCTCCAGCTCCCTCCCCCAACTGTGATGATTCTCAGCCAGGCTTGAGAGCCATTAGCTCTGCATCAACTGAGACATTTCTGTGGAAAAAAATGGATCCTGCTTTTAAGATAGCTTTACTCAGACTTTCTGATTTAAACAACTCTTGATGCTGGTGGTACACTTGTAATCCCACCACCTGGGTGGCTGAGACAGGAGGACAGCCACCAGTTCCAAGCTACACTGAGTTACATAGTGAATTCTTTGTCAACCTTCCTACAATGCACCGGTCTAAATAATTTTGTATTGTGTAGATACACATATAGAAAAGTGGGAAAATCTTAACTGTACAGTTTGCTAAATCTTCCTAAGTAAATTCATGTGTATATAGCCACCACCAAGATGAAGACCTCCCAGGCGGATCTCTGTGAGTTCAAGGCCAGCCTGGTCTCCAGAGCGAGTGCCAGGATAGGCTCCAAAGCTACACAGAGAAACCCTATCTCGAAAAAAAAAAAAAAAAAAAAAAAGACCTCCATCTTCATTTGTGGGTCCTTCTTCTGCAACAACCGGAGAAGTAACCGTCGTCAAAATCCTCTACTTGTTACTTTTTGTTGTTGTTTTAGAACACTCAGTAAGTAGAACCCCACTCTACACTAGTTTACCTTCTTCCGCTCTCTGAATATCACATTTGTGATTTTGACTCATTAAAACTTCTCTGGACTAAATTTGTAAAACGGTAACTGAAGCAGCGGAGACGTGGGATTCTGAGAGTTTCCCAAACTGGAATGAACGCCTTAACCCAAAAGTCGCCACCAAGAGGGAAGGGAGGCAGGGTCAATCCCCAGTGCCTCCAGGGAGCGGGGTCATCTCGTAGGGGCGTGGCCCACCCCTAGCATCCTCCATGACCGTTGGCTCCGGGGGAGGGGCCGGGCAGAGCAGGGCAGGGCTTCCTGTCTGCGCCTGCGGGATCGCCGTTTGACCCCGGAAGTGTTGGCTCTGTGGAAGCTGTCAGCGTGTACGGCGGATGCGCGTCGCGGGTGTGGAACCGGGAGGTGAGTGCATGCCTGGTCCCACCGGTGGAGCTCGGTAGGAGTCAGGGCCGAGCTTCGGGCACCCTCGACACACCAGCTCAAGGACTTCACGGCGGGGCCAGGCTTACACTGTCCCAGGGTCTGTGAGTCTCCAAGAGAACCCGAGCCTGGGGTTCCGGTTTGGTTTAAGGCTTGGTCCTAGAGTGACCTGGGACGAACCCCAGTCCCCACCTCCTCCTCCTAAGCTACAGTCTCCTCGGCATTCATTCGTTCAGAATGTGTTTGTTGACCGACTCCCATGTGTCTGGTACAGACGTAGGCGCCGGCATACAAGCAGCAAGACAGACAAGGCGCTTGTGCTCGTGGGACTTACAGTCTAGAGGAAGGAGACAGTCAACAAGTAAATGCATAAATCAAGTAAAGACATGACAATGAGTAACAAGGACAGATTATTTCAGGGAGCATCTGGGAAGGTTTCTAAATAGAGTGGCATTGAGCCGAGACCAGCAAAGTAGTGAATGACAGAGAAACTGAGGCAGCAGTAAGTAGCCCTGGAGATTCTCACTGGCCATATAACAGTTGTTAATTGTGCCAAGCCCCTTCCCCTGAAAACACTTTCTTAAATTTTGGCCTTTGTTGTCCTGCCCAGGATAGGAGGTATATGGTGCACAGCTGTCCTGTTTTTTGGTTTTTACCACTCAAAATCTAGTCTTTCCTTTATTTTCTACCCATGCTTTAAGTGAAAACTCAAATCCTCTTTGATGCCTTCCTCCTGTAACTCATTTCTCTTTGTTAAATGCTTCATGAACCTTGCATATTCCGCAAACATCATGACACTGATTATTTGTATGGCAATTGACTTTGTATCTGTTGTTTTCATGAAGACTAAGCTTTGTGAATGGCACCACCAGGTCAGTTCCATTGCATGAGTCAAGCAATACACGTGTCCTTCCTGAGAATAAGGCCAAGTGGGGTTATAAAAAGGGAACACAGAAGAAGCTGGTCTGCTAGTCAGGCTTTGTGAGCTGTATTCACATATATGTGGGTGCAAGTGTACATGTGTGGGTCAAAAATCAACTTCAGGAGTGGGAGTTGTTCCTCAGAAGTCATCCACTTTTTTTTTTTTTTTTTTTTTTTTTTTTTTGAGATAGAGTCTTACTGCCCTGGAGCTTACCTAGTGGACTATGCTGACTGACTTAAGGAAGCTTTCGCCTTCCACTCTCCCAATGCTGAGATTACTAGCATGTATCATCACATCCCACTTTTTGTATGTGGTTCTGGGAATTGAACTCAGATTCTCATGCTTATGCATGAGACAACACCGAGCTATCTCCAAGTCCACTTTGTGACTATTTCATTATTTTATTTTTGTTTGAGATTGAACCCAGGGACTCGTATATGGTAAGCACAAATTTTATCACTGAGCTGTTGCCAGATGACCACTCCTGGCTTTGAATCCGATCCGACGCCTCTGGAAGGGGTCATGTGTTGGCAGATTTCTATGTATTTTCTCTTCTTCTGCTAAGGTTTTCATGCCCTCCTCTGAAGCCTAGAGAAGGTTGTTAAGTCTTGACACAGTCTACAAATGAGGAAAAGTCCAGTTGTCCCAACCTGTGAAAGATCTAAGGTCTCGTAAGAATTGAGAAGAGTATTCTTGTTCTGAAGAATGTAGCTCAGAGGCAGAGCTAGCCTAGCACTCGTGATGAATTCTCTCCCCATCACAGCAGAGAAAATTTCTCCTCATAGTGATTCATCAAACATTTGGTGAGGCCTGTGCTGGTTATAGGAAAGACAGCAAGAAAAAGAACTGTGGGTAGTGTCTTCACAGTGCCCATAGGCTACTTCAGTACAGCGTGAGGCCCTGGTTCTATCCCAGCACTATAAAAACAAAATCAGAAAAATAATCTAGGCACTTTTAGCTAGAACTTCTTTCTTATAGTGGGTGGGGGTTATCTGGAAAGTATTTTCCTTCAGAGCTGAGAACTATTTTAGGCAAAAATCATCATGTTAGGTCAGCAGATGCATACCAGGTCTTGAAAGCCCACATTAGGAGTTCACTGTGGCCAGGGTTTGATGCTGGTGCTGGGATCAGTCCCATAGTAGGCCCTGCCTCTAGGAGTCAGTGTGTCTGCTCTCTTCTTCCCATCCGTATTCCTTTTAGGAGGGTCACACAGCACAATGTCAGCTCTGCCCCTGGACCAACACCAGATCACCCACAAAGACCCGAAGACAGGAAAGCCGAGGACTTCGCCAGCCCTGGTGAGACAATGTCTTGATGCTGTTCAACCTGATAGGAATCAGCCCTGCAATTTCAGAATCAAAAATAAAGTCCTTCTCTTCTGTTCCAGGAATGACCCTAGGGCCAATAGATACTGTTGAGTAGTTGAGACACTGCTAGGCCCTTGCAAGCCTAGTGTAAACTTGGTTTCTGAGAAGCAGTGCAAATTTGAGTAGTAGTTTCCATATCAAGTCCCCTTCCCAAAGCATTTAATTTCCAGTCAGTCTGAAGGCAGTTCTGACTTAGCCTGAGTTAGGCTAGAAATGGTTCCAATTCCTGGTTTGGTGATTGGCCTTTGAGGGGGATTTAGGTTTCATGTAGGAATATATATATAAGCTGCCGCTCATACTTCTGTTGGATCACTAATTTCAGAGGTTGGGCAGGTCTTTCTTATCTGGGACAAAAAGTGAGACATACATAGCCTCTGACAGGGTCAGTGAGACCAAAAACTAAGGAGACTGTGGACCTGCTAGTTCCCAGAATCAGAGAGAGATTAGAGCCATGGAGAGGTGCCAGGCTGCTAAAGGAAGAGAGAGAAGTGGGGATTTGAGTCCTTGTACCCTCTTGTAGATTTCCCAAGAATATGAGCTTAATTGCACAAGGTAGAAAGAAATAATTCTTGGAGGCTTGAGTAAAGTTGTGGGAAATGGGCACTAAGTGTTTTATTTCCTGCATTTTGGTTAACTTTTATTATTTCCTATTCAGTCTCTAATACTAAAATTTAACATGTGCAGGGTACCTCATGCAGGCCAAGCCATTCTGAACAAGTCATTCATATTAACTTTTCTTCTCCCTTTTCCCCCTCATTTTTAACTAGTTCTTTGAGAATTTTGTGCAGATTCGCTGCCCCCCCCCCCCATTCCTCACCCAGCTTACTTTGTGTCCTCTTGTTTTGTGAAGGCTATCAAGTCTGGTTGATGCTACCCATATGCTCTTGGATGTGTGGCCTTTCCTGAAAGATGCTCAACCAACCAGCAACTGTGCCCTTAGAGAGAACTGACTTTACTTTCTAGCAGCTATCAGTTATTAACAAACAGTTCCATAGCTAGGGATGGAACTTGGTGCCCTCCTCCCCAGTTTATCTCATTTAAGCTGCATCACAGCCCTATGAATGGATGCTTTGATTGTCACTATTTTACAGAGTTTGAGGTCACAAAACCAGGAAACCAGGAAAGCTAGAACTGTATGTACTGTTCAATTCAGTAGCCATTTATTAGGAAACATGTACTTGTGTAACAGTCATAATATCTCTAGTGCTTGAAATGTGGGCTCTGGAACAGGATTTTTCTTTTTTCTGTTTCCTTTTTCTTTCCTTTTTTCCCCCTTCGAGACAGGGTTTTTCTGTGTAGTCCTGGCTGTCCTGGAACTCATTCTGTAGACCAGGCTGGCCTCAAACTTGGAGATCTGCCTGCCTCTGCCTCCTGAGTACTGGGACTAAAGGCGTGCACCATCATGCCGGACTCAGAACAGGATTTTAATTAATCAAAGCAAATGAAATTCCATACTGTGAGATGCCTGCTGTGTTGTTTAGGCAGATGATGAAGTTTTACTGTCACAGAATGTTCTGTTGGACAGTGCTGGTGGAGACTTGAATGGCGACCTCAGTCCTTTCCCATGTGCTGAATGAATACCTGGGTTGTTATTTGTGGGAACTGGGTCCCTTTCTTTCACAACTGGCTTCTTGGTGACAAGCATACAGTGAGTTCTCTGGAAACATTCCTTAAGTCAGAAACCACAATCAGACCTAGTATTTAATGCTAGAGCTACAAAGAGGAAAATATGTAGTCCTGTCCTTGGGTCCACATCATGAGACCAGTAGCTTTAGCAGTATGGTGACATGGTAGGATGGAGGGCAAAAGTTCTGACAGAGTTGATTCAGATCAGAGGTTTGGAGTGCAGGGATGGAAGTAGGGATATGCAGATAGGGATGGCTTCTTGGAGGACAGAGATTCTGAACTGGATGTTGAAAGGTGAATTAGCTCTATCTGGACAAGCAGGAGGAGAAGGAAGGCCCTGGCTGAAGAACTCAGGAATGCTTGAGGAATGCCTGACTTTTTTCTTTTTTCCAATGTTATTTATTTATTTATTTTCTCAATTTTTTATTTAAATTAGAAACAGGATTATTTTACATGTTAATCCCAGTTCCTTCTACCTCTGCTCCTCCCCTATATTCCCCCCTCCCACCAACTAACACCCTACCTATTCCATACCCTTTCTGCTCCCCAGGGAGGGTGAGGCCTACCATAGGGGGTCTTCAGAGTGTCATATCCTTTGGGATAGGGCCTAGGCCCACCCCTGTGTGTCTAGGAGGAGTCTGACTTTTAAATCAAGTACAGATCCCTGGGGGTGGCACTATAACAGAGTTAATGAACACAGGCTTTGTACATATTTGGCAAGTTATTTAACCTCACTAGGTCTCAGGATCCCAAAAAGATAATAATGGGCCAGGCGTGGTGAGGTGGCTGTGAGGACTAAATGAAACATCTGTGAGTTGGTGCTGTTCCTGGAACAGAGCAGGCACTCAATAGATTGCAGTTATGATGATGATGACAAATAGCAGCTGTGACATTGAATGGGCCGAGGTTAGGGACAGGGACCAGCTCAAAGACAATTGCCTAGCTGAAGACAGGTCTTGTTGGTCATACTGAAGAACATTAAGCTTCTGAAACATTGTCCTGAGATTTCCATAGTATTTTGTCTTTTGTGTCTCAGCTTGGGGCAAAAAGATGTCTGCCCTAGGAGCAGTCATTATAGTGCCTCTGCAGAGTGATAGGTGGAGCTAATTGATGTCTGTTGAGTAGCTACTATTCAAGTAGCATACACTTGAGGACCAGAATTTGCCCTATGTCTACATTCCCTCTAAGACGGACTTGGGTGCAGCTACAGGCTCTAAGCGTCCCACCTGTGTGATCATGGTGAAGTCCCATGAGGAATATCAGGAGATCTATGACAAGTGCCTGGAGGAGGTTCAGGCTCTGCCAACACCTCTGTGAGAGACTTGAGCTGCAGCCTGTTCCAGGAGCTGCTGGGCTGGCTGCAGGCAGCTGCCCACCCTAACAACATCTCCCCAATTTCCTGACATGGGACTTCTCCCCAGGCAGTTCTAACAGCTGTTCTTGGAGGTAAAGCCAGCATCTTTTCCATCAGTGCCATCTTCTGTTGAGCTTAGATGAAGACAGTTCCAAGAATGTGGGGTGGAAGTAAATGCTGAGGCAAAAAAAAAAAAAGTAGCATGCACTTGAAAAACTGTAAGAAATAGTGTTGGACCCTTAGGCCATTCCTTGAAAGACAGTAAGAAAATGAGTTCCCATCAAGATACATAGAGATTTAAAGGGCTGTGAGTATTTTCCAGAGCAGATAGGCCCTAAGCTAGTCTTATTGAAAGGTGGGATTAAACTTGGGTAGGAAAGACACACCGGGAGCCTGTTGCTCTCCTGCTCTGAAACCATCTGTGGCTACTTATTTTGGAGTAGAGTTCCCTCCTACAAAGCTTGCCATTTTAAACCCTTCTGAGGCAGAATCTGGCCATTCATTCCTTTGTCCAGCTAATGAATGTGTGGAGTGTCTTCTCAATGTCAAGCACTGTGGAAGTATCATTGAAAGGCAGTAAAACTGCGCATTTAAAGTCAACAATTTGATTGGTTTTTACATTGGTAATATACCAATGAAATCATCACCAATGGTCAAGACAGTGGACATTTTTACCTTCTCTGAAAGTCCCCTGTGAACTTCTATAATCCATTCCTTTCTTTCTCCCTGTATCCAACAAGTGATGCAGTTTATCAAGTGCCATAGTCGGGTGAGCACAATGCAGGTGCTGGGTAGAACTGTGGAAAACCCCTAGTCCAGCCTAAGGGAGAATTAGGAAGGTTTTTAGGAGGCAGTTAGATCAGATGGACAAGCAGTGAGATCAGGGTAGCACATGTGAGCCAAATAGGTCATAATCATTCTGCATCATAAGCTTTTCCTCAAGTCCTGCCTCAGTTGCCAGCTTAACCTCAAAGCCTTTAGGGAAAAAAAAGTTCCTGGACCTTAATAAGTCTTTGTTTTCTCTTCTGACAGACAAGAAGAATACTGTCTCTTTTTAGCTAATTGCAGATGAAAAAAAGAGAGAAAGAAAGAAATAGGGAGTTTGACATACCTGTTCCACAGCTGGCATAGCGTGGGTCCTCAATAAGTAATAGATTTATTGCCATCATTCGGCCACCCTCTAAAACTATCTCCAGTGTCCAGCTCTGCCTATCCACAGTGGTGGTACACGTCTTTAATCCCAGAGGCAGCCAGATCTCTGGGAGTTCAAGGCCAGCCTGGTCTACAGAGCGAGTTTGAGGACAGGCTTCAAGCTACAGAGAAACCTTGTCTTGAAAAACCAAAATAAATAACTAAGTATAAGTAAGTAAATAAATAAGTTCTTCTACTAATTGTGGCACACACCTTCAATTCCAGAGGCAGGCAAATCTCTATTAAGTCTGAGCCCAGCCTAGTCTACAGTAGCAAATTCCCGGCCTGCCAGGGCTGTATAGTAAGAACATATGAGAGAGAAAGAATGAGGGAGGGAGGGAGGGCAAGGCAACTTTCCTCCACCTAAAAAGTCCTTTTCCTCCTTCTAGGCTCAATTTAGGTACTGTCTCACCAGAGAAGCATCCCTTTTCCAGGGGCTGCTAATTCCTTCTTGTGCTCTTATGACCCTTCAGGCCTAAATTGTCACTTCATCTGTTTAGGGCTCCCTTGGTGACTTAGATGTGCATCTTCTCCTGTGAAACATGAACCTTGTGACTTAAAGAAGATTTGAGACTCTGAGCTGAGACCTTCAGCACATAGATACTTTTATTCTTGCTCCAACACAGTAGGGACCCTGTAAAGAGTGTCAGCAGGTCATGGAGAAAGGAAGCTTGGAATGCAAGGAGATAAGCTCTCTTTTCAACAGATTAGTGGTTGAATGCCACCACTATATAAATGGGATTTAAAGGGAAGAGGGTTCTACAGATCTGTATGCTAAATGACTGCAATGGATCCTTATGGAGCCTGCATACTCCTGCAAAGGCCGACAAAGTTCTTAAGGAAACTGACCCATCAGTCTTGATTGTTCTAGAGTTGGCTCTGGAAGGGGGAGGCTTTGCTTGATAACAGCTGAGGCCTGGCCCTCCTCCTATTACAACTTCCCCAAGAAAGCCGCTCTCAGCTCTCACGTAGACTGGGATGAAAACTGAGCCACTGAGCCCATCCACTCTTCATTATGGTGAACAAAGTGGGTTTTGTTCATGGCATGGTTAGGGCTGGGAGAGAGAACTTGTGACTCTAAGCTGAGATCTGCAGCTACTTGATTAGAATCTTTTTAAAAAAAAAATGGTAGAGGTTTTTTGTTTTGTTTCTAGTTATGTAAAAGGAAATAATGATATATAGAGTATAATGCTGTTTATATCAGAAAGGAAAAACAAACAATTTATATGCATACGCTATATTCAAATGTAAAAACCTAGAAAGGTAACTAGGACGATGAATGGTCAGTGGTTTTCCCTGGGAGCTCATGGAGACTAGGAATGTGCTTCCCCTCTCCCTTCTCTCTCTCCTTTCCCTCCTTCTCACCTTTTCTTTTCTCCCTCCCCACCCCCCACCATGCTGGGGATTGAGCCCAGGACCTCACAAATACATTCTGCCCCTGAGCTATACACTCAGTTCACATAGTAAAAAAAAAAAGATGTTTATCTGTAACTTGGATAATTAAATATTAATTTAAAAAATACATGTTCACTTTTTTTAAATGGAAAAATAAGGTCAAACATAGGAGTTACACCTTTATTCCAGTATTTGGGAGGCAGAAACAGGCAGATCTCTTAAGTTTGAGGCCAGCTAGTCTACATAGTGAGCCCTTGTCTCAAGAAAAAATACTGAAAAATATGCTGAAGCCATAATTCTCTAGCCCCAAGATAGCCAGTGTAAATTTTGGGGACTGTCCCCCCACCTTTTTTTTTAATAATTTATTTTTATTTTATGTGCATTGGTGTTTTGCTTGCATGTATGTCTGTTTGAGGATGCCAGACTGTAACTGTAGTGACAGACAGTTGTGAGCTGCCATGTGGGTGCTGGGAATAGATCCTAGGTTCTCTGGAAAAGCAGCCATTGCTCTTAACCACTGAGCCATCTTTCCAACCCCCACCCCTTTACTTCTTTTTTTAAAAAACTGTATCAATATGCAAATATAGAGACTTTAAAAAACATTCCAAACCTGGTTATATTAGAGTTTTGTGTCTTTTTCTCTTCTAAAAATTCTCCAAAAACATGTTTTTTAACAACCACCTGCGCTCCCTGGGTGCAACCATAGCACCTTTGTTAGACACACTGGGTTCTTTATACTTAAAAGCTCCTTGGAGGGTCTCTGGTTGGAACAGCCAAGTACTGTCATTGCTGTGGGTTGGCAAAGGGGCCCTCGCTGACTAACCTCTGCCACGTTAACACGTGGTTTTTGGATCCGTAGCACCCCGAGCAGAAGGCAGACCGGTATTTTGTGTTATACAAACCGCCCCCTAAAGACAACATTCCCGCCCTAGTGGAGGAGTACCTGGAACGCGCCACCTTCATAGCCAATGACCTCGACTGGCTCCTGGCCTTGCCTCACGATAAATTCTGGTGCCAGGTAACATTCTATCAAAATTAACACTAAGACAAAGCATATGACATGTCCTTGGTTGGTTGCTGTTTTTCTCTCCCCTAGGAGTTGCTTTTTTGTCTACTTTCCTTGGATCTTTAACAGCAAATAGTGGTTTGGATTGCTGTCTCATATTGCAACCTTCCGGGTGTTTACACACTGTCATTTAAAGAAACTTGTGTGTCACCCTGGGCTCATTCATACCTTCTTGGTCCCTTGGGTTGGAGTGTTTGCAATTTATCGAAGCTGATGGGCCTTGTGCACCTGTTCAGTCTACCTAAGGAATCAGTCCTTGCTTTCCTCTCTCCTGGCATAGGTTGTTTTTGATGAGACTCTGCAGAAGTGCCTGGATTCCTACCTACGCTATGTACCCCGAAAGTTTGATGAGTGGGTGGCCCCGACCCCTGAGGTTGCTGACATGCAGAAGCACCTACACCGAAGCATTTTCCTCACCTTCCTTCGAATGTCCACTCATAAGGAATCCAAAGTAAGCTTCTGATCCCCTGACAAGTCTCCCCTTGAAACCCAACACCTCTGCCAGGCTCTAACCAGGGGAAAGAAGGATCTGAGAGTGTCCACTTTCCTCTTTGTCGCCCTCTTTATTCCCTCTTATTCCCCTTCTCTAACCTACCAGCCTATCCACAGTACAGTCAGTGTTTTCATCAGCAGGAACCCCAGGTCCTTGTCACAGTTGACACTGCCCTTATTCATGTGACAGAAGGTAATGACATTGATTCTGACTTTTTGAAGAACTCATTCATACTGTACTTTTAAAAAAAGAATTGTTTATTCATGTATTTTATGTATGTGAGTGCTTTGTTTTCTTGAATACCAGAAGAAGAAATCTGATCCCATTGTAGATGGTTTTGAACCACCATGTGGTTGCTAGGAATTGAACTCAGAACCTCTGAAAGTTGAGTGCTCTTAACTACTGAGCCATCTCTCTAGCCCTCACATGTTTACTTTTTAAAATATTTATTTTATTTTTAATTAATTTATATATGTGTATAGTTCTCTATGTATGTATATGCATATGTGACTCAGGTCATCAGAATTGTTGGCAAGTACCTTTACATACTGAGCCATCTCACCAGCCTTCAAAGTCACTACTGTTGATGTGCATGGTCCTTCATGGAATCTAAAAAAATCTTTTTAAATATTTGTTTTGTGAGGAATAGTGGCACATACCTTTAATCCCAATAACTCAGGAAGCAGAGGCAGGCAGATTTCTTCATGTTTAAGTCCATTATTTTATTATTATAAACATTATTATTTTGGTTTTTTGAGACAGGATTTCTCTGTGTAGACCTGGCTGTCCTGGAACTTACCCTGTAGACCAGGGTGACCTCGAACTACTGCCTCTGCCTCCTGAATGCTGGGATTAAAGGCGTGCAGTACCCGGCTCTGAATACTGATTTTTACAAGCATTCACCAACAAATGCAATGGATGTTAATTTTTAAGCTACATTTTCATTATAATTAAATTTCAAATATATGCATATACTTGAAAGTTTCATGCGTACAGAACAATGAATCAATCCATGTCCTCTTCACACCACTTGTGTACTTACCAATGTTTGTTTATCTTGTTTAATCTCTCTTGAGTTTGCTTATTTTGTTGAACTGTTTTTATGTAACCACAGACACTGGCTGATTTGCCCATAAATACTTAAAAACAGGCCCCTGCTGACTCTTTCATGGTATTTCTGGTTTCTTTTACATGAAAATGCAGAACCACTACAATTCTCAGTCTTTTCATAAAGCTCAGACATATGTACAGTATAGGCATGCGAACATTGATTAGCCTGTCCCCAGCTGATGAGCATCAAGGTGGTTTCTTAATCGTTTGCTATTGTAGTATCTGCACACTCAGCCTTCATCTGTACTTTCCCCTTAGGATCACTTCATTTCTCCATCTGTATTTGGAGAAATCCTCTACAATAACTTCCTCTTTGACATCCCAAAGATCCTGGACCTCTGTGTGCTCTTTGGAAAAGGCAATTCACCACTGCTCCAGAAAATGATAGGTACGTAGATTGTAGGACCTGGGGGTGTACAGGGATGGCCCACATGCCAAACCAGAGGTCACAAATGCTTGTGCTTAGATAGGACAGGAGTATTAGAGGCAGGTGGTACTGGGATACAGATGTAATATATATATAAAATATAATATGTATAATAGGTGTGTGTGTGTGTGTGTGTGTGTGTGTGTGTGTGTGTGTAATACGCACATAGATATGTCAACTCTGAAATAAGTGACTGGGGAGTTGAAAGAAAATTAAAACAGTATACCAAGCATTGCCTCAAGAACCTTCAAGTCTTGCTGGGTGGTGCATAACCACAATCCCAGCACTCAGGAGGTGGAGGCAAGAGGGTTGTGAGTTTGAGGTCAGCTTGGGCTACATGCCATGCTGGCTATTAAACAGGGACTATGTCAAAGCAACAGCCAAAACAGTTTGTCGGGATTTCTTAGTGTTAGGACAGGTGTCAGTCAGTGGTAGGAATGAGAAATTTGCCTTGGCAATGAAAGTCAGATTGCAACGACATTAGCCTTCATTGGAATGTGGCCTGGGCTCTGTCATGACATGTGTGTCCTATTTGTTATCTCCACTGGATGTACACAGGAGCTGTCTGAGATCAGTGTTGTCATTGTCCCCATTTATAGATGAAAAGACTGAGGCTGAACTGTAAGGGACTTGCCTGAAAATCTGTAGTAAACAAGTAGCTAGGCAGGAACTTATGAGCTTTAAAGAAGTGACCCTGGAACTCTTGCTCTTTTTGCTTCCTGCTTTAGGGATAATGAGGCTGCCTCCAAAATAGCAGGTGTATGCAGGATTGCTGAGAGTAGATGGGGACATGGTTTGGAGACTCTATGATTGTGAAAAGAGTAACACTAAGTTGGATTTCCTAACACAGAAGTGGGCTATAGGTTCACTCAGAAATGCAAGTGGTAGGGGTTGCTGCAGAGGGTATGTCTTAGTTCGTTTGAGCACTCCTGCCAGCCTTCCTCATCCTCAGACTGTAAAGCATAGTCTTCTAAAAATCTGATTGCAAAACTGGGTAGCACTTGGGGAGCCTGAGGTAAGAGCCTCATGGATTCAAGTCTAGCATAGACTATATAGTGAATCCTGGCTTTAAAAACAAAAAAAAACCCCAGCCATTCGGTGGTGGCATATGCCTTTAGTCCCAGCACTTGGGAGGTAGAGGCAGGCGGATCTCTGTGAGTTCAAGGCCAGCCTGGTCTACAAAGTTACACAGAGAAAAAAGCTAGGTGGTGGTGGGAGTGGTGGCACACGCCTTTAAACCCAGCACGCGGGAGGCAAAGGCAGGCAGATATTTTTTGAGTTCGAAGCCAGCCTGGTCTACAGAGCAAGTTCCAGAACAGCCAGGGTTACACAGAGAAACCCTGTCTCAAAAAAACTAAGAATAAATTAATAAATAAATTGATTAATTAAAAAAAAAATCCCTTGGGATAGTTCTCCCTCTCTTTCTTCCCTTTTTCCCCCTCCTAACAAAGTTTACATGCATATATGCATACATATAGTTATATGTATAAAGCTGCAAACTTTATATATAATTTTATGAGTATATAAAACAAATACAGCCGGGCGGTGGTGGCACACACCTTTAATCCCAGCACTTGGGAGGCAAAGGCAGGTGGATCTCTGTGAGTTCGAGATCAGCCTGGTCTACAAGAGCTAGTTCCAGGACAGCCTCCAAAGCCACAGAGAAACCCTGTCTTGAAAAACCAAAAAAACCCAAAAACAAATACTTGTATATATAAAGTTACATATGAAAATTTAAATTTTACAAATAACTTTTTATAAATATGTAAGTGTTTTGTTTTTGTGTTTAAAGATTTATTTATTATGTATACAGTGTCCTGCCTACATGTACGCCTGCTGGCCAGAAGGGGGCACCAGGTCTCATTACAGATGGTTGTGAGCCACCATATAGTTGCTGGGAATTGAACTCAGGACCTCTGGAAGAACAGTCAGTCTCTTAACCTCTGAGCCATCTCTCCAGCACTTGTTTTTGTTTTTTGAGACAGGATTTCTCTGTGTAGTCTTGGCTGTCCTGGAACTCACTCTGTGGACCAGGCTAGCCTCAAACTCAGAGATCTGGCTAGGCAAACACTCTTTTTTTGTTTTGTTTTGTTTTTATTCTTGTTTTTATGAGACAGGGTCTCACTATGTAGCTCTGGCTAGCTAGAACTTGCTATGTGGATCAGACTGGCCTCTGCCTCTCAAGTGAGTGGCATACACTTTTAATCCCAGCACTCAGGAGTAGGCTACATCCACATCCTACAGATAAAGAATAAACTAAGAAAACCGTTAGTAGATATTTACAAGAGTCTATGGTTTATTTACTTTGGGTCATTTCTCTATATATTTTTAATATATTAGATCATAATATATGTGATTTTTTTTTTTGAGACAGGGTTTCTCTATGTAACAGTCCTAGCTGTCCTGGCCTCAAACTCAGAGACCCCCCTGCCTCTGTCTCCCAAGTGCTGGGATTAAAGGCGTGTGCCAGCACCACCTGGCCTTATGTGTGAAATTTTACACCTGTCATTTTCATTGAAACACTCTCTGGTTTCTTGTTTGAGTCTAATTATTGCTTGAGTATGGGTTAATCTTGTTTATTTTCCAAGAGGGACACCTTTCATAAATTCACTGTAGACTTAGAGGATGGGGTGAATAAGCAACAGAAAACATAGTAAGTTAGGGAAATAGTTACCAGGCCAGTTTGGTTAGAGTGGAAGGTTACAAGAGAGCAGTATCAGGAGCTAGGGAGAGTCACTGGAAAGGCTCCATTCAGCTTCACCAAGTCAGTGAGCCTTTCTTTTCTTTTCTTTTCTTTTCTTTTCTTTTCTTTTTTTATTTTTGAGGGTTTCTCTGTGACTTTGGGGGCTGTCCTGGAACTAGCTCTTGTAGACCAGGCTGGTCTCGAACTCACAGAGATCCTTCTGCCTCTGCCTCCTGAGTGCTGGGATAAAGGCATGTGCCACCACTGCCCGGTGTCAGTGAGCCTTTCTAAGTCTCAATTTTAGACTAAGGAAAGGCTGATGGTCTGCCTTTGGGTTGGTATGGAATTAAATCGGAAAGAGTGAACAGCATACAAAACATTGGGTCTGGCAGGACACAAGCACTTGGCAAGTGTGAGCTCTGTGTTGAGACTGTGGAGCCTCCAGGAGCTTGGAGCAGGAGGTCAGTCTGTTAGGGCAGAATACTTGTGAGGGAGGTGGAAACAGTAGGCAATGAAAAGCAGGCACATCGTCATGGGAGTGAAGGTGAGCACCTGGTTGACTACTGGAACAGAAAGGGACATTTGGGATGCAGAGCAGAGCCCAGAGAAACCTGAACAGTTCTGGAGAAAATGGGGGGCAAGAGAATAGTGTGGGAGAAAATGGGCTTCAGGATCTAGTGGTGTGGGTTGTGAGTTAGAAACAACTGTTGTACATATTTGGCAAGTTATTTAACCTGACTAGGTCTCAGTAGGTTCTATCCATCCACTAAGTGGATCCTGGAGATCAAACTTAAACTAAGGTTATTAAGCATGATAAAAGGAGCCATCTTGCTGACTATCTTAGTTAGATTTCTATTGCTGTGATAAACACCATGGCCAACAGGAACTTGGGGAGATAAGGGTTTATTCAGCTTCCAGTTCCACACCACAGTGCATCATTGAAGAATGAGGGCAGGAACTCAAGGCAGAAATGAAGCAGAGGCCATGAAGGAATGCTTCTCATTGGCTTGTGCAGCCTGCTTTCTTATACCATCCAGGACCACCTTCCTACACATAATACCACCTACAATTGTCTGAACCCTCCTACATCAGTCATCAATTAAGAAAATGTCCCACAAGCTTGGCTGCAGGCCAGTCTCTGGTGGTGGCATTTTCTGAATTGAGGTTCTCTCTTTACAAATTACTCTAGCTTGTGTCTAGTTGACATAAAACTAGCCAGAATAACATGACCTTATTTATTTTTATTTTAATTTGTTTATCTATTTTGGTTTTTAGAGATGGGGTTTCTCTGTGTAGTCCTAGCTGTCCAGGATCTTATTCTGTAGACCAGACTGGACTTGAACTCTGAGATCTACCTGCCTCTGACTCCCTAGTGCTGGGATTAAAGTTGAGTGCCACCACCTCAAGGGCTTTTTGTTTGTTTGTTTTGTTTTGTTTTTACTAATGATATGAAGCTGGAACTGCTAACCTGCCTCTGCCTCACAAGTGCTAAGATTACAGATGTGGGCCACCTGGATGGGGGGCCCCTTTTTTTTTTTTTTTTTTTTTTTTTTTTTGAGGTTTCTTACTATGTAGCTCAGATCAGCCTGGAAGTTGCTACGTAGCCCAGGCTGGCCTTGAAGACATGTTCTTCCTGCCTCTGCTTCCCAAATGCTGGGGTATTAGATGTACACCACTGTGCCTGGCTCCATGTACTTTTAAACCACCAGGTTGAGGATTCTAAACCGACTTATTAAGGAGAGCCTCATTTTTGGCTCCTAGAAGGTGGTTGATTCAAAAAAGGTGCAGACCAGGCATCTGGAGCTGTGTGTGTGTGTGTGTGTGTGTGTGTGTGTGTGTGTGTGCGTGCGAGCAAGGGTGCACACATTCATGAGTGTGGTGGCATATGTAGAGAAGGAGCACACCCCCCCACCTCAGATCAGCTCTCTGTTTAATCCTTAAGTAGAAGACCCAAGGGCAGCCTCCACTTCCAATACACAAAGTCTCTTGGGCAAAGCATTGCTTGTAAGACGACTGATGAGGAAGAAAAGATGAGAGAGGGTAGGCTACCCTATGGGTATAAGCACAGACCTTACTCTAGCCTTCTTGATAAACTGGCAAGGGTGGCATTGGGTATCAGCTATCAGCTTTTGAAAGCAGGGCTCATCAGTTAGTTTTTATTGGGCACATCAGGAAACAATGAGGTCATTGCTCCTTCATAGGTTAGTGATCTTTGCGACAGTGTCTTCTGCTCACCTCGGGCTTGTCTGGAAAGAAGAGGGAGCTCAGAGGACACCACTGCTTGTTCCTTACCTTTGTAGTTTTCTTAAGACAAATTGGTTTATCTTATTTATTTTTTTTCTATGTATGGGTGCTTTGCCTGCGTTTATGTGTATTCATGTGTATGCAGTGTTTGCAAAGTCCAGAAGGGGGCATTAGATCCCCTAGCACTGGAGTTACACCCTATGGTCCTGAGCCCTCTGGAAGAACAACCAGTGCTCTTAACCAATGAACCATCACTCCAGCCCCAAGATACATATTTATTTTTGTTTTATATGTATAGGTGTTTTGCCTCCACATATATATGTACACTCTGTGCCATGGAGGCAAGAAGAGGGCATCTGGTCCCCTGGAACTAGAGTTACAGATGGTTTTGAGCCACCATTTAGATCCTGGGAACTGAACCTGAATCTTCTGCAAGAGCAGCAAGTGCTCTTAACTGTGAAGCCATTTTTCTGGGCCTATTTTAGGCTTGGTTTTGGTTTTGGGGGGCTTTGTGTTTTGTTAGGGTTTGTGTTGTTGCTGTTGTTTTGCTTTTTTTTTAAATCAAAAGCAAAGGAGATCTTCGTTGTTGTTGGAATCATATATAGAAGAAAATAGATTCTGAAGACCTCAAGAATAGATTGTGAAATGTGAGCTACATTTCCAGGTTTAGTGGTTCATGCCTTTAATCCTATCACTCAGGAAGCTGAGGCAGGTGGATCTCTGAGTTTGAGGCCACTCTGGTCTACAAAGAGAGTTTCAGGACATCCAGGACTGTTATACAGAGAAACCCTGTCTCAAAAAAAGAAAAAAGAAAAAAAAAAAAGATGAAATTTGAGTTATCTTGATGCATGCCAAAAAAAAAAAAAAAAAAAAAAAAAAAAAAAAAAAAAAAAACTATTTTTCTGGCAAGCAGTGAGGGAATATTCTGGGTGGTCAGGGTGGTAAGAGGAATATACCATGCCTCTGGAAGTGCCTGTGTCAGAGTACTATCTGAGAAGGTGACACATGTCTTACGGTGGAGCTCTGGGAGGTCATTTCAGGCAGAAGGAAGAGATAGGGCTTGTCTGAGGTTAAGGATGGTTCAAAGGAGGGCTCCATTGCAGGGATTGGAAGCAGGGTGACCTAGGATGCCAGCAGGGGCTAGATTTCTCGGGGATTTTTGTATCATGGGAGTTTAGTTTTGCCGTGAAGGATCAGGACAAGAGGAACAGGAGCAAAGGTTGACCGAGGGGCTGGCTCAGATATTCCTTGCAATGTGGAGGAGGAGAGTGTAGAGATGATCCAGGCACACCTTCATAGATTACAGGGTCAGCACCTATGGGAGGTAGGAGCCCTGAGCTAAGGAGGCTGAGCTAGAAAAACAGCTTTTTGGAATCAAGGAGTAAATGCCATCCTGTACTGTGCTGATTAAAAGCCCAGTTACTTGCTTACTCGTTAGCCTCACCTGGCATTTGATTTTCTTCATGTTTAGATACCCTGGAATTGGACTAGGGCTGCAGAGTAGTCTAGATTGTATGCTCTGGCCCTTGTACACAGTACAGGAGAAAAACAGAGGCAGAGAGAAAAACTTCTTTCTCCCCATATAGTTTCTTTGTCCTACTCTTGGCCATACCCTTTGAATTCACCCTTTACCCTTCTCAAACAGTACGAAAATCTAAACATTGTCTGGCACTTACATAAAAACCAGACGTCTGCTGAATGGTGGTGGCACACACCTTTAATCCCAACACTCAGGATGCAGAGGCAGGTGAATCTTCGAGTTTGAGGCCAATTTGGTTTACAGAACGAGTTCCAGGACAGCTATTGATGTTACACAGAGAAACTCTGTCTCAAAACAACAACAAAACTAGACCTCCACCAAAGCAGGGGGGCTCAAAGCTGACTACCAGCCAGAGAGGCAAAAATTATAGTGAGATGAGGCATCTGAGGGCATTGGCATTTCTCATCATGATGTCCCTAGCTATGATTCTTTGCCTGGTCTTCCGTCCTCAACATTTGGACAGAGAAACACTGGGTTCTGTCCCAGCTACCATATGCTCTAAGCACGCCATGCAGCAGCAGAGAGAGAGTAGTAAACATCGGAGATGGGCTCCATCTGAACAAAACAACTACAGATGTGTGCCAGTTCATCTCTGTGTATTGCTCCTGCCTTCTGTTTGCAGGAAGGTGGATTGAGATGGTAGTATGTTCAAAGACTTCCAGACATTTCACCCTGGCATCTCCTCACACTTTTTGAGGTGTAACTTGGCAAGACTCCTGAGTTATTGTAGGTTTGTTGAATAAAGGAATTATAGTTCCCAATTTTCCTGGATAATTCAACTCCCAGTTCCACAATGCTGTCATAGGAGGCATGGTGCCCAAGTTTGGTCACTCCCTAGTGACATCAGGACTAGCTGGTTTGACCAGGGCTTCTCTTTGATTTACATAATTCGGAGGAACTTAAAAAGTTAGATTGTACTGAATAACTTCCTTTCTCAGCCCTGGGAGGGTTCTCAATGAGGACAAACAAAGCTCAGTGCCAGCTGGGCCTGAGACAAGACTCATCCTAGATCCTCTCCACAGACAGGCTTAAGGAAAGGGAGAACGGTCACAGAGCATGCTGATAATCAAATGTGATATGTCCTCTCCATCCATCCTGACCTCTCCCCTCTTCTTCCTTTCTCTTCTCTTTTTAGGAAACATATTTACCCAGCAGCCAAGTTATTATAATGACCTGGATGAAACCATCCCCACCATACTTCAGGTACCGTCTCTTATCCCTGTCCAGGGTAGAGTGAGCTGGGTAGGGGGAGACAAGTCTTTGGCCTTTTCTTGAAGAACCTGGAGAAATGTTTGCTTTCCACTTCTTTTCCAGACACATCCTGACATGTGGCACAGTGGTAGAGCACTTACCTAACATGTGCAAAGCCCCAGATTTGATCCTTAGTAAGAGAGAGGGGAGAAGGAAAGGAAGAGGAGGGAGGAGAAAGAGAACTCATCTCCCAGATTTTCTCTTTGTCCTACTCTTGGCTACATGCCTTGTAATTCACCCCTTGAGCTTCTTGAAGGAGACTGAAATCTAAAGATTATCTGGCACTCACACACAAGGATTTGATTTGGATTTTGTGTCGTTTCTCTAAAAGTTACTTCTTTCAGATACCTGTATTTCTCAAATAGGAACTGTGAAGGTTTATGAAAGAATAATTTGTATTGTAGAAAATATGAGGACTGAAGAGATGACTCAGCAGTTAAGAGCACTGACTTTTCTTCCAGAGGACCTGGGTTCAATTCCCAGCACCCACATGGCAGCTTATAACTATCTATAATTATACATACATGCAGACAAAACACCAATGTACATAAAATAAAAATAAATAAATTATTTTTAAAAAAGAAACTATGAAGAATGTTTAAAAACTGACAGGAGTTGGGCATGGTGGCTCATGTCTGTAATCCCAGCTCTTGGGGTTCCAAGAGAGGAAATAGTCTTGAGTTTGAGGCCTGTCTAAGCTATATAGTAAGTAAGACCCTGTCTCAAAAAAATACAAAAAGTAAACAATCATAAATAATATTATTATTCCTCCATAGCCCACTGTAAACCCTACACATACATCTGTTTAAAGTAACTTTTGGAGTAGTTACATGGTAGACTGTTTAACGATAATACGGCAGCACTTAGGAGGCAAAGGCAGGAGGATCCCTGTAAGTTGGAAACCAATCTGGTCTACATAGTAAATTCCAGGCCAGCTAAGGCTATATAGGAAGACCCTCCCTAAAAAACAAAAATAAAGTTTTAATCATGAAAATAAAGACAGGGGCTGGAGAGATGACTCAGCAGTTAAGAGCACTGACTCTTCTTGCAGAGGTCCTGAGTTGAATTCCCGGCAACCACATGGTGGCTCACAACCACTTTGAATGAGATCTGGTGCACTCTGCTGGCATGCAGGCAGAAGACTGTATACATAATAATAAATAAAATATTAAAAAATAATAAAGATAATATGCCCTAGAAAGATGGCTTAGTAGATAAAGGTGCCTACCACTAAGCCTGAGGACCTTATTTTGATCCCCAGAACCTACATAGTGGAAGGAGATAACAGGTTCCCACAGTTGTCCCCTCACACACATGCCCCCCACACACAAATAAATAAGGAAGAAAGAAAGAAGGAAGGAAAGGAAGAAAGACAGATAGACAATACTACCAATTCAGTCTTGCTTGATTTTGAGACTGGTTAAGTTTTCAACTCTCTGGTAATTTGTCTGTAATCCCTGGACTTGGGAATTAGAAACAGGAGGATTAGGGGTTCAAGATCTTCATTCTTATCTGCATAATGAGATCAAAGGCATCCTGGCCTATATGAGACCCTATTCAAAACAACAAACAAAATATACACATACACATATGTATAAAATCATCCTGTAAGTACTTATCTACAAAAGAGCCTAAACATTTCTTAAATGTTGTTGAAGGTAATTCTCAGGTATTATTATATATTGTTGAGTATATCAGGTCAAGTCATAGATGCAGAATTCTTGGGGCTTTATATTGTATGCATGCTGTATGTGTGGTTACTAAAGTTGGAACTCAGGGTCTTGTTTTTTTTTTTACAGGGGGGGGGTGTTGAGGCAGGGACTCACTATGTAGCCTTGGCTGACCTAGAACTGGCTATGTAAACCAGGCTGGCTTTGAACTCACAGAGATCCACCTATCTCTGTCTTTTGAGAGTTGGGATTAAAGGTGTGCAATACCACACTTGGCCTGGAACTCAGGGTCTTCCATGTACTTGGCCTGCACACTATCAGGCCTACAAGGGTTACATTTAATCCTATTCACCATCCCACATTGGATAGCCTGTCCCTAGGTTCCAAGTCAGTTCTTGGGTCTCCTGTCCCTAGTTGTGGGATAGGGATCCTAGGTGCTTGTTCAGGATGTGGAAGAGAGCCCTTTTTGCCTTTCTTAGGTCTTCAGCAATATCCTACAGCACTGTGGCTTGCAAGGGGATGGGACCAGCACCACACCCCAGAAACTTGGGGAGAAGGGTCGGTTGACACCCAGTGACATGCCTCTCTTGGTAAGGTTGCCCCTCAGCCCAGCTTCTTCTGGCTGGGATCCTTAATCCTGGCTACCCTAGGACTGAGAAGATTGCCAATGCTGCAGGACACAGTCGTTTCTTCCTCTGCCTTTGACCTCTTCGTATGATGTAACCCATGTTTCTACCTGCCCTCTGGGTTAGACTTTTCCGAGGGCTTTGTCCTCCCTGGGAAACCTTTGTGGAGTACCAGAGGGAACAAGGAACTAGGATTTGAGAACAGGGTCTGCTCCTTACTTAGTTTTGCTCAGCAGGCCCACTCCTTGAGCCAGTCATTGATCCCTTGAGTCTATACTGAAGGATTATGTGCAGGTCCTATGCTGACCCTAGGGATAAAGCAGAAAACAGAAGCAGACATGGTTCCCATCCCACAGTGCTTAGAACGTTAATAAGGGTGACATAACCAAAAGAACTTTAAGGAGCCTGGGTGCTATGCTAAGCTCTACAGACAGCTGGGATGTGGCAGCTGTGAACTCCCTTCTTGATATTTGCCATCTGGTGGGAAAATATCCATTGAGCAAGTGTTTCAGAGGAGTACAGGCCAGAAGCTGTGGGAGCACCCTGAGCATCTTAGCACTCCAAGCCTCAGTTTCCTTATCTGTAACATGAAGCCACCCAGCCCACTCCTTCAAGTTTCATGAGAATCATCAGGGCAGATGAGGAAACACCCTGTGTTCTATGTACCCTGTTCAAAGTTCGAGCAAAGGGTGGGCTTGCTGCTCCCGTCTCTCCAGGCTGGGCGGGCTATCTCTCTCAGCACAGTATTCAGATTCAGTGTTCATTTTCCTTCAGCATAGAAGAGAGGCTATGTCAGAATTACGGGTGACCTTAGCCATCATTGAGTGTAGGCCACTAAGCTTCAGTGGCAGACTCTAAGACAAGATGATTACATGGCCCAGGTTGCCCTCTGAGAGGTGAACCGTTCAGGCTGTCTTAGGAGCCTCCACTTCCCTGTTCCTGCCTGCTGTGGACTCTGACTTTGTCAGTTATGATTTTCAGGCCCTCTGCAGAACTTAAAAATAATACCGTGTCTTTTCTTGACAACAGGAATTAAAGGACATTGTCCTCTACCTATGTGATACCTGCACCACACTCTGGGCCTTTTTGGATATCTTCCCTTTGGCCTGCCAAACCTTCCAGAAACATGACTTTTGTTACAGGTACATTGGGACTTCTGCCTGTTAAAGTAGGGGTCTGGTCCATGCATCACACAGACACATATTGACTTGGTCCTTAGAATATACCAGTCCAGGGACAGAGATGGCCCAGTGGTTAAGAGCACTGGCTACTGTAACAGAAGACCTGGGTTCAATTCCCAGCCCTGTTAACAGCTGTCTATTAACTCCAACTCCAGAGGATCTGACACCCTCACACAGTTAAGGTAAAGCACCAGTGCACATAAAATTAAAATAAATAAATCATTAAAAGAATATACCAGTCTATCTTCCAGCCTGGAGACACACAATGAAGAGCACATATAAAACTCATGCTGAGAAGAGCTCTCCCAATTTTGGTTAAGAATAAAACAAGGGAGGGGGGGAAAAACCCACATAAAGAAAATGACAGCTTTAGCTGGGCATTGGTGGCACACGCCTTTAATCCCAGCACTCGGGAGGCAGAGGCAGGTGGATCTCAGTGAGTTGGAGGCCAGCCTGGTCTCCAGAGCAAGTGCCAGGATAGGCTCCAAAGCTACACAGAGAAACCCTGTCTCAAAAAACCAAAAAAAAAAAAAAAAAACCCTGTTTAAAAAAAAAAAAAAAAAAAAAAAAAAAAAAAAAAAAAAAAAAGATTCCTAAAAACAGCCTTGAATACTGAGCAAAAAGCTGGACAGGCTGGCTGTTCCTTCATCCCAGCTCCTCAGGAGGTTAAGGCAAGAGAGCCACTCAAGCTCCAGGATTTGAGGCTAGCGTAGTCAGCATAACTAGATGCAGTCTCATAATCTAAGGAGAAGAAAAGGGATCAGGATGTTCTAGATAGAAAGGTTATGGTGACATGAAGGGTGTTGGAGCAGATGTGAAATGTACAAAAAGCCCAGACTATCCACCAGGTGTGGTGGCACATGCCTTTAGTCCCAGAACTTGGGAGGCAGAGGCAGGCGGATCTCTGTGAGTTCAAGACCAGTCTGGTTTACATAGCGAGATCCAGGACCTCCAAGGCTACATAAAAAGACCCTGTCTCAAAAACAACATCAACAAAAAACCAGGACAACAGGGAAAGGAGTTGACAATAAAAAAATGAGAGGTCCACTGTTTGATGCCAGAGTGTGAAGAGTGGTAAAACCCTGGCAGGAGTGGGGTCTTTATTCTGTAGGTAGTGGAAACCATTGGAGAGTCCTTACGAAGCTTGGGCTAAAATGGAGAACTCAGAGGAACTTATGGCAAAGAGGGAGACTGCCCAGTTAACACCATGAGATCTTTCTGTGCAGTGAGAAGGTGGGGAGCATGGGCTTGGGCATTCCCAGGCTGGTGTGAAAGGACCAGCAGCCTGCTCATTGCCTGGCAACAAAAAGTACTGGCCCATTCCCAGTGGCCTGTAACTGTTGCTCTTGCCAGGCATCTCTCCAAACTATTTGCAGCAGCTTCTGGGAGCTGCCCAATCCCATTTGCCCACCCATCTATCTGTCCATTCTGTCATTTACTCACCCATTCAACAAAACATTTATCTAGCTCTGACATGTGCCAGAGATGGCAGCTGGTTCTCTGACTCCTCTTTGGTCTCCTCTGTTTGTGAGAGTCAGACATTAGAGTTGATCAGTTTCACAGGGATCATTAGAATAAAGTGCCAACCAATATTCTCCAGAGAAGAAAGGGCTTGGGATAGGACTGTAGCTGTCCACTTTAGGGAGGAAAGGTATTTCAGTATGATAAAAGAGCATGTGGAAATGTAGAAAAGATAGAAAGCCAGAAACTGAACTCACTCTTATGAATTACACTGCTTTTGGCATTTTATACTCTGCCTGTTTGCATTTTTCTCATTTTGTCCAAGCATCTATCCTGGTAAGCACAGATGGCCTTTGAGGGAGGAAGCTTTGGGAGAGCAGATTTTTTTCCTGTAAGAGACATGGAAGCAGAAGAGTCCTCACTCATCTTGGAGTATGGGGAAGAAAGGATTGCACTTTGGAAGTGACTCTGCCTTTGACTCACATTTAACCTGCAGCTGGCCCAGCCTGTGCTGAAAGCTAGAAAATCCTTTGCTAGCTAGCTACACCCACACACATATACAACCCCAGTTCCACAGTTCCACAGTTCCCACAGCTCTGGGTTAGGGGTCACACATACCCAAAGAGCTGTTTCACGTGGCCCTCTCAGAACAGCTTCCTCCACTCTCCTCTCCCATCCACTCATCCAGTATGCAGCTTACCCTCTTGAGTCATGAGTCAGTAGTACTTTCACTTTGACAGACCTCAAAAAGTGTAAAATAGCAACTGGAGAGATGGCTCAGCAATTAAGAGCAGGTTCTTACTTCCAAAGGAGAGAGTTAATTTCCCAGCACCCATGTCTGAGGTTCACAACTGCCTATAACACTAGCTTCTGGCCTCTGTGGCCACTCTCACACATGTGACACACACAGAGACAACACACACACAAATAACTTTTTATTGTTTGTTTGTTTGTTTGTTTGTTTTTGTTTTTTAGGTTTTTTGAGACAGGATTTCTCTGTGGCTTTTGGAGGCTATTCTGGAACTAGCTCTTGTAGTCCAGGCTGGTCTTGAACTCAACAGAGATCGCCTGCCTCTGCCTCCCAAGTACTGGGATTAAAGATGTGTGCCACCACTGCCCAGCCACAAATAACTTTTTAAAAATGTAAAATATATGGTGAACTGTCTCCTGCCCCCTCTTTATAGTTCTTTTCCTCACATGTCAACACTGTCATAGTTTGGGTGGGATTCTCCAGAGATATGTAGTGTATGAAAATATGCACATTATACGTTCCTGTGCCCCCAGGGCTTTATAAATGCTCAGTAGGAACTCTGTCACTGAGTTGTTCACCAATTACTAGTCTAAAATTTCTGGGCTCAACCCATCTTCCTACTCTCAGCATCATCTCCCCTTTTAAACATTGAAAGCTGGGGCTGGGGGAGATGGCTCAGGTCTTCAGAGTGACTGGGCAGTACTGTGCATCTGGCATACTGGACACTAGAGACAGATTTTTTTTGTGTGTGGCTTTTTTCAGTTATTTGCTATTTCAAAATAAATAACATTGTACACACATCACTTTGTACCTTTGCAAGCATATTTGAGGATTAATTCCTAGAAGTAGAAATTCAGGGACAGATGGTATGTGCATCTTTAATTCTCACATATCTTGCCAAATCACCTTCCATGGGGGTTGTTCCGGTTTACCCACCAACAACACAGCCTGGCAAGTGTTGAATCAGCTTGGGCCAAACTGCCCTCTCTGGCCTCTGCTGATGCTGTGTCTAGTAGGGCCTGTTCTTTTGGCTTAGCTATTTCTGCCACGTGCAGTGGTGAGAGAGACATTGCAGAGAGCCAGCCAGAGGATGGGCACATGCTTACAGAGCACCTGCAGGCGCTGTCAGCACTACACTAGGCACTGAAGTGCATCTCTGACTCTGGGACACAGGATGTTTGGAGAAAGAATTACACCATAGAAAAGCAGCAGCATGCTCAGTATGCAGGAAATCTGGCCCCTCCAAGGACGAATCCTGTTGTTAAGTAGAGCCAGGAAGTACTCAGTGGGGAGGTAGGCCTGGAATGGTGCAGGGTTTGAGGGCAGGGAGAGGAAGAGATGTAGGAGGAAAAGGACAGCTGCTTCCCTGAGTTGTTCACCAGTTACTAGTCTAAAATTTCTGGGCTCAACCCATCTTCCTGCCTCTGTTTCCCAAGTAGCTGGAAGTATAATCATATGTAACTGCTGAAACTCATAATGTATGTGTGTGTAATTTTTTAAGAAAATTTTAGGTTTGTTTTATTTGTGTGAGTGTTTTGCCTACATGTATGTATGTGTAGCATGTACATGCCTAATGTCTGGAATTCAGAAGAGGGTATCAGATCCCCTGGAACTGGAGTTACAGACGGTTGTGAGTCACCATGTGGGTGTTAGGACCCAAACCCAGGTTCTCTGGCAGAGCAACAAGTATTCTTAACCACTAAGCCACCCCTCCAACCCTGTGTAAGTGTGTAATTTTTAATTCTTTTGCTATTGAGACAGGGTCTTGTGGTATTGTCCTGGCTGGCTTCCAACTTGCTTTCCTCCTGCCTCAGCTCCCCAAATTCTAGAAATACAAGCATGGACCACCACACATCTAGTTTATAACTTTTTTATTAAGAGTTGTAGAAAATAGGCTGGAAAGATAGCTCAGTGATTAAGGTTCTAAGTTCAATTCCCAGCACTCCTATGCAGCTCACAACAATCTGTAACTCCAACTGCAAGGGATGGCACCTTTTTCTGGCTTCTGTGGGCATCTGTACTCATGTCTATACACCAACTGCCAGACAGACACACACACATAATTAAAATCTTTTTTAAAGAGTTATAATTGTCAGGCCTTTAATCCTAGCATTCAGGAGACAGAGGCAAGGGGATCTCTGTGAGTTCGAGGTCTGCCTGGTCTACAGAGCTAGTTCCAGGACAGCCAGAGATACACTAATAAATCCTGCCTCAAAAAACAAAACAACAACAACAAAACAGTTATAGTTAAGCTAACTGGCTTAGTTCATAAAACAAATATAGAGTGTATGATACGTATAAGTCCTGAGCTCATTTAGCCTTTTCTGAATAAATACATTGTGTTGATATTGTCACATGTAAACCATCTGTAGAGATTCCAGATCATGGGAAAAAACAAAACTTCTTTATATCTTAGAACCAAAATGAGAAAGATAATTGGTAACTAGGCATTTTGGGCTCCTAGAACTGGCAAATTTTGAGGAAAAGATTGTTTCATAAACCCAGGGAGTCCTGTGTGGGCCTCTGGTCACTTTGGTAGAATAGACACAGCTATGGTCACTTTCTATGGTGGGGCAACACAGTACATCATACTGGGGTAGGCTCAGGAAAACCCATGGATAGTCCCAGAGAATAGGTATAGGATGGGATGGAGGCAGTGGGTTGATTCAGTAAAGTAAAGTGAGGCCCCAAGTTTGATCTCTTCTAAACCCATGTAAAAATGTGGTGTTACTCACTGCAGTACCAGTGCTAGGATGACAGAGACAGAGAGATCCTGGCCCTCTGACCAGTCAGCCTATCCTGATTGGTGAGCATCAGGGTCGCTCTCCTTAAACTAACACTGAAGTTAGCCTGTGGCTTCCACATACACAAGAACATGCATATTATGGATTTATGGGAGAAAGAAATTAACCTTTTTGCTCCTTTGAGTTGGCTTTTGTTTTCCACCAAAATGTGGTATTTGTGAATAATCTGGCCTTTTTCCCATGTTTGTTTCTGCAGACTAGCTTCCTTTTATGAGATGGCAATTCCTGAAATGGAGTCTGCAATTAAGAAGAGGAGGCTTGAAGACAGCAAGTGAGGCAGGGACAAAACTAACAATGCTGTGTGGGAAAGGGAAGCATGAGCACAGGCTATAGCATCCTCACTACTAGGACAAAGGAGCGGGGACCAAGGACTGTGGTAGCTTTGGGCTCCTAGACTTGGACTTGGTGGTCTTCTTGGACATTTATATATA